TATCAAATAAGAATGGTTTGCAAAAAATTGCGATGATTGGAGCCTGGGAACAAAAAAGCCCTAAAATTTGAGACGTACCTGCCCCAAACGTGAGAGCAACAAGATGATATAATATTTTTTGTACTATTCTCAACAAGACTTATATTTATCCATAAATTTTAAATTTCATTGTAAAATATTTCCGCGTTCAAAAATTATGACCATGTAAAGTTTGAATCCCCCTCAATTCGAGGGGGTCACAATTTTTATATGGTCATAATTTTTAAGCGCTAAAATATTTTACTATGAAATTTAAAATTTATTGATGAATATAATTCTTGTTGAGAATAGTACAAAAAATATTTTATCAACTTGTTGCTCTCACGTTTGGGGCAGGTACGTCTCAAATTTTGGGGCTTTTTTGTTCCCAGGCTCCAATCATCGCAATTTTTTGCAAACCATCCTTACTTGATATAAGTATAAACATGTAAATGTTTGGAGTTTGCTCCATGTCTGGAAGTAAGCTATCTCAAACACCAAAAAATGCTGGATCCGCCCCTGCAATACTTAAACAAAAAACTTAATGGAATAATAATTAAATAAGAGGTTTGATATATTTAGGACAAAATACAATTTACTTTTATACATCTATCTAGAATATAAGACTTATATATACCTAATTAAAATATAGCAATTTTGCTAGAAAAAACACATGGAAACACACAAAAGACGTGGAATGTAATTAAGCAGATAATCGGTACAAATAAATGTCAAAATAATAAATTGCCAGAAAAACTTTTAGTTGACGGGGATATAATTTATAATAAAGAAGTCATAATTAACAAGCTCAACAAATTTTTTCTTGATATTGGACCAAAATTAGCTGATAAAATTCCAAAAACCAACTCAAACAACTTCGAATCTTATATAAATACACCCAACACATCTATGATAGAATCTAATTTAAACTTAAGTGAGATGCGCAATGCTTTCAACTGTCTAAAAAATAATAAATGTGCGGGCATTGATAAAATTAGCGTAAATGTAGTTAAAGCTGTGTTTGATATTATTGAACCATCACTGTTTCACATTTTTAATTTTTCTTTAAAATCCGGTATTGTACCGGAGAAATTAAAAATTGCTAAGATTATACCTATTTTTAAAAATGGCGATGATACAAATATGTCCAATTATAGACCTATTTCTGTCTTACCATGTTTCTCTAAATTGTTAGAACGAATTATGTATGATAGACTTAACAACTATTTAACTGAGAACAATATTCTGTATAATAAACAATTTGGGTTTAAAAAAAATCATTCAACGGACCATGCAGTAGTCGATCTAATAAATTATGTATCCAATGGGTTCAATAATGATTGCTATACATTATTGATTTGTCAAAAGCATTTGACACTGTTAATCATGATATTCTGATTAAAAAACTAGAAATGTATGGAGTATTAAACAATAACTTACAATGGTTTAAAAGTTACCTTTCAAACAGGAAACAATACATAATATATACAGAAAATGAAGAAAAAAAACATATCATAACTTGTGGTGTTCCCCAGGGATCAATCTTAGGGCCCTTATTATTCATACTGCTCATTAATGATTTGTATTTAGCATCCAAAATTCTAAACGTTATTTTGTTTGCTGATGACTCAAATCTTTTTTACTCTAACAGAAATATTAAAGATCTGTTTAGAATTTTTAATGAAGAGTTATTAAAAATAAATGAATGGATTACGAATAATAAACTTTCATTAAATGTTGGGAAAACTAAATTATGTTGTTCCACAAACCTAGTAAAGGTGATAACCTTTTTTTAAAACTACCTGATCTCTTTATGAACAAAAAAGTTATTAAAAGAGAGTCAACTATTAACTTTCTAGGAGTGATATTAGATGAAAATATATCATGGAAATATCATATTAGATCTATTGAAAATAAAATCTCCAAAAATATTTCAATGCTATTTAAAGTTAAACCTTTTCTTTATACGGAATCTTTAAAAATTATATATTTCTCATTTATTCATAGTTATCTTTCCTATTGTAAGCTTGCATGGGCAAGTACCAATTATGGAAGCTCAAAAAAATTTATAGCAAACAAAAACATGCTTGTAGGATTATTTTTGGCGTTAACAGAACTGTTAATGGTGAATCTCTTTTAAAGAAACTTAATGTGCTTAATATTTACAAACTTAATATATACCAAGTTATGCTATTTATGTTTAAAACAAAACATGCGTTATCTCCTAATATATTTCAGTCTTACTTTACCGAAATATCTCATAAATATCCCACTAAATTTTCATCTGATAATTTTGTTATTCCAAGATCTTATTTAAAACTCAATTCATTTCAAATTCAATACCGGGGACCATTTATATGGAAAGGTTTTTTAAAAAATATAATTAAAAATAAAATTCTTCGAGGCATCTCCTTAGAACAATTCAAAAGAGAATCTAAACGTTTTCTATTAGAAAAAACTTTCGATTTTAAAGATTTCTTCTAAAATCACCTAAAACAATTAAACCTGAAAAAGTCATCACTACTCATTTACTATTGTCTTGTGTATCTTGTTTATTTCTTATTAAAATAAAAAATATATATACTATTAATTTTGAACAGACAAATAACATTTATTCGATTTATTACTTGTGTCTTATATTTGTCGAACTAATATTGTATTGTACTTCAATTTTTAACCTTTTAGTTTTTAACTTGAAACTTTGTGACGTTAATGTAAACGGGGCTTGGCGATAAGACAGTTTATAACTTCTTCTTGCTCCGGCCAATTTTTATACATGAATGGTTTTTTCTCATTGTAAATTTAATTATACGGCAAAGAAATTATAATAATAATAATAATAATAATTTTGTCATAGCGAAAAAATTCACTTCGCGCGAATATTTCGTTTTGTGGAAAATGGCCTTTACTGTATCTGTCGCTTTATGCTCTAAAAACTTTTATTCGTTTCGTTCTTTCCTCGCACAATGCTTAGAACTTATTCTTATCTTCTTGCTCATGTTTTAGAACTTTTTCTTATCTTCTTGCTTATGCTTTAGAACATTTTCTTATCTTTTCCCGACTCAAACAATTTAATTTTTTTTAAGTCTTCATTCAACAATTTTCTTGTTCTTTAACAAGATACATTAACATTATCGCATAAAATTATCCCAAGAAATTTAGTTCAAAATAAAAACTTTATAATTTATCTTCTAGACTTCATTTCCGATATTCTTTATAAGTTAAAATAATTTATTGATAAAAAAATATAAATTATAAAACACAATTATTAGTAGCCTGCACAATATTGAAAGTCTGTAGATCAATCAATTGTAAATTTGTGAAGTAAACTGATTATTGCTCAAGTATAGTAATTTCCATCTAGAGCATATACAAGCTCTACCTAGAGGAGATACAACAATTTCTACCTAGAACATATACAACAAATTCATTCTAGAACAGATACACTTACTTAAGTACTTTAGATATATACTTGATATCTTGAACCAAAAGAGTTGTTTAAATTTGTTAAAATTGGAAATATTCTTCAGACACAAGAGAGGCTCCCCTAAAAAAATTATTTTCTTTTATAGTAATATGATTTTATATAGAGATTTGGTTTGTGTTTAAATTTTTTTTAACTGGAAACAAATATGAATTTAAAAAACATAGTTTGACAATAAAATGAGCATTTTTTAGAGCTGATTTAGCATTTTAGGAGCAAAACTATGTTGTGACGCAATAAGTTACAAACCACTAATGTATATAATATAAAATTTAGTACACTGATAAGTCACATTTATATAAAGGGAATGAGCGGGAAAAAAAAATCATATACCGCCTAAAAAACTCAGAATTGCGGCTAACGTAAAAAACATACTTTTGAATCCCTCTACGTTAATATAAAATTGAAACAAATTAAAACCAACAAAAAATCAGTAATTTTTTTCCACTCAGTTTCTAGGAATATATTTGAAGAGTGTTTCCTGAAAATTTCAAATCATAAAGTTTAATATTTATAAAAATATGCTAGAAGTACTATAAATTGCATGAAAATCTTGTTGTAAAAATGCTATCTAAGACATATTAGGGATATAAATTATGCAACGCAAAATATATTTCAAATATATGTTTCGTAACTTATGGACGATCCCTTACACAAAAAAATAATGCTAAAATTACTTTTAATAATACTAAAAATAATTTTTAGTAATGTTAAAAATATTTTTTTAAATTCTAAAATCCTAATTCTTCATGTATATATTTCATAAGGCCTATCAAATATAATATCATTGGAAAAATTATAGAATGGCATTTTTTTGAAAACTGTTTTTTTTTCGTGTAACCGCCTTAACAATTTTAATGTATCTATTTTTGTTGATGCCAATTAATAAATAATGTCTTGAATACAAATATGTCATAGTTAACTTTTATATTAACTGGTGTTTACACGTCTGTGTCCTAACAATGAAGAATGTGCATACAGATGTAATGCTAATGTTCATAAAACTCGTCCTTAAGTTATTAACATAAGTTAATACCACCTTAAAAAAACTTACAATAAAAATAATTTATTTTTGTATGTTTAGCATGCTTATAAAATCATCAAATTATATTTATTAATGCTTTATCATTTAACTTTTTTTAAAGTAAGCATTTGAGAGAACTCTTAAAATTATAGTCGATTTTACGTCAATAATTAAATGTGCTGGACTTTTAATACTCCGATTATCGTTAGCTAGATTTTAACAAAATTGACAAAAAGTAGTAACGCCGTGCCAGAGTTCTCAACGCTTTTCAATAAAAATTTTCAAGCCTGAGTGAGTGATTGCTTTATACTTGTAATACTTTTTAAAGTATATACATGATCAATACATAAATAACTGCTTAAACCAATTATATATATTTTTTGTAATTATTTGATTATCCAATTTTCAACAAATTTACCTGCCTTGTCATAAACTAATAAAAGTGCATGTATGACATTTAAATCAAATTAGAAATGATTTGAATCGTTCATTCAATACCTAAGTATATCGATATTAAATACATGGTATATCAGTATTGTTGTTTTGATTGATGAACTTTGCAATGTTGTCAACCCAATACCAAACCAAAAAGAACTTGATCTTAAGTGTTGTTTAACTTTTGCTTACACTTGTATTAAACACGCCAACACAGCATTTTTTATTTTAACACGTAATTGTTCGTTTGTATGATTTATTATGTGAGTGTTACCAACTTCTAACTGAATCATTGCATCGATATCAGGCTAAATTTTACATTAAAAAAAAATTAATTACAAAACGTTTTAAATAAATTAATTTTAATTAGTAACAAAAAAAATTTAAAATAATAATCAAAACTCCAAAATTTTTAAATAATTAAAAAAAACTCATAATTACGCTTGTAATCCTTTAATTTTCATCTGCACATTTAAGGTTTTAATAATTATTGAATTTATTATAGTTATAATTATTTTAGGGTTTTAATTATCATTGAATAACCATTTTTATGGTTACAAACATTAACAATAAAAATAAACGTCTATTGGTTTTTTTCCACTAACATAGAACAAGAGGAGCAACTTTTAAGTTTCTTTATATACAACTTAAATTGACGACTGAAAAATATTACAAATAATAAAATAATATATAAGTATAAAAAAAAAAGTAATTAAAAGAAAACGGCCTAAAGGTTAATTTATTGGAATTATAAAATTAGAATTTACAATTTAAGCATTACATAGAAGGAAATGAAAAATCGGAGGGAGTTTGTTCAAAAATTAAAAATGCTCTTATTAAAAGAAAGAAGACATTAGGCGAGGTTTTTGTACCTAGGGCCACCACACTTTATTTGAAAACTATAAAGTTCTAAGTAATGCTTCTCAGTCAGATAATTAGTTATAAACGGGTTTGTTAATAGATGACATTTTTCGTGGCGCTATCAATTCTTGTACCTATGGCCATATAGTTTGCTTGTTATGTGTGTTTCTCTGATAAAGAATTTGTTTGATCATGAGCTAGATTGTTAAATTTCGATTGGTGCAGAGCGTTTTTTTACATCGCAGTTGTTTTGGGATTACCATTTTACGCGTAGACATTCGCAAAATGGTGGAGGCCTGGGAACAAAAAAAATCCTAAACGTTTGACCCCTTTTTAAAAGTAAAATAATAATATAGTAAAAATTTAAACTTTACTATTTTAAACGAAATTTAAATTCATCGACAAATTTTAAATTTCATTCAAAAAAATTGCAAGCTACAAAAGTTATGACCATGCAAATTTAAAATTTTAAAAAAAAAAAACTAAAGGGGTTAAATTTTAAAATTTTGCATGCTCATAGCTTTTGCAGTTTACAATATTTTTGAATGAAATTTAAAACCTGTAGATAAATTTAAATTTAGTTTAAGATAGTAAAGTTAAAAATTTTACTGTATCACTGCCCTCACTTTTTAGGAGGTGGGAGGAGAAACGTTTTGGGTTGTTTTTTTTTCCCCATCCTCCACCATCGCGATTTTTTGGGTATATGTATATATATATATATATATATATATATATATATATATATATATATATATATATATATATATATATATATACATACATACATATATATATATATATATATATATATATATATATATATATATATATATATATATATATATATATATATATATATATATATATATATATATATATATATATATATATATATATATATATATATATATATATATATATATATATATATATATATATATGATAGAACTATATAGACATTTGTCGAAATGTAAACCAGAAGAGTAAAGATGTTTGAACACAATGTTTAAACATGGTGTTGGTGAAACACTCATACATATAAGATGTTTATGTATTTTGGTAAGGGCTAGCTTTTAATGAAAAGAAAAGCTTCCTTTTAAATTTTTTTGGTCTTGAATTTTAATTTTTTGAGTTATATACTCAAGCAAATGTACACATACATACTCATAATTTTTATGCTGGGATTAGCCTACATTGAAAAGATACTTGTTCAGCTTGTGATGAGTTTATTATAAATAAAAAAAAGCGATCAAAACATTTCGGTTGCAGTTGGAAAAACATTACCGAAAGAGTCATTCATAAAATACGTACGCAGGTATGGGGGAGGGGTCGGGGTTTTCCAAAAGCAAACAAACGCGTACAAGGAGGAGGGGGGGAAGAGAGTGTTAAAGACAGTAAGTACGTACGCGGTTTGACTATCTCTCATAAACTTTGATTTTATTTTTTTATGTTTTGAAAAAAAAAAATGCGTACGAGGGAGGAGGGGGGTGTCTTCGAAAGCGTACAGGTTACAAGCGTACAAGGGGGGAGGGGGAAAAAAACATAAAAGTAGAAAATACAATCTCGAAACCTCCACGAGAAAAGTGGTTATATTATATACCAAAAATATCAGTAAAAAAAATAACGAAATACAACTCACAAAATGGATAATGTGGCCACTTCCTGTTGATTCAACTTCTGCATTATTAATGCCTTGCTATAAAATTATTTATGATATTATTTATGATGTAAAAAAAATGGTATCAAACTATTTTAAATGTAAAAAAAAAAAAAATTGCTATTAATATATTGATGTTGAACTTAAAAAAATTTTGCTATAAAATTAATGTCATTTACAAAAAAAATTACTATAAAACTATTAATATCAAAATATGAAAAAAAATTGCTATAAAATGCTAATCAAATGTCTAAAAGTTTATATCACTCAGCTAAAGCTGAGACAAAAAAAAACTTTCAAAATATTTTTAACTAAGAAATTATTTTTTGTTTAATTTTTAAAAATGCATAACCCTTTGTTAGCATAAAATAAATTTTGAGTATTTAGTAGTCTTTAAAAAAAAAATATATTGTTTAGTTTTGCATAAAACAATCCAGTGAAGAGTGAATCCAGCCACTACACACAGCCAATCTACTTTTTGTAACGAAGAATTTAATTTAAATTGAAAATAATTCATTAAAAAAGTAACAATACCATTTTTAAAGCAGAGATAAACTGATTAACATCAATGCTTCCGAACAACTGCTTACCAACCTTTGATCTTAAAAAATAGTTAGTTATGGAGTTACTTTTATAAGTAAAAAAATCATAAAACTACAAAGAAATCCAAAATAAAATACATTTCGTTATCTAAATCAACTGGCTTTAATGTATGTCTGTTATCACGTGTCACAACTTTAGCTCTAACAGAAGCAATTGCTAATCCATCTTCAATTTGTTTAGGACATAGTGACTTAGCAACCTAATTAAAAACTAAAATTAGTATCAAGGTGACTTAAAAACCAAAAAAAAACAAAAAATTAGAAAAAATCTATATAATAAACTTAATGAATGAACAGCCATATTGAAAATGCCAGCAACGCAATATAAAATATAAAACAGCAACTTAAAAGATTATTTTCTTATTATATTTAACCTATAAACTAAAATTTTTTACCTCTGGAGAAAGCGTTACTTTAGCAAATGTTTTGTGAAGAGGTATATCAATTACGTCCATATATTGGAAAGCACGAACTGGTATATCCTTAAAAATCAATATAGTTCATAAACTTTTTTATTTATAAAAGCAATTTTATTTAAACTTAATACTTTAATAACTATTAAAAATATATTTAATTTTATGTGTGTATGTGTATATATATATATATATATATATATATATATATATATATATATATATATATATATATATATATATATATATATATATATAAATTAAAGTTTCAATAGTTTTGCTCCCTGCCTTTTTTCCATTTTTATGATAATCAAACAAGGCAGCTTTTTTTTATTTTTATGCTTTAGTTTAGCCTTGTCACTAAGCTAAATGAAAAGTACGAAAATGTCAAAAATTTTACCGTTTTCCAAATTATTCAAGTAATCAATTACAAACACTATATATCAGTCCTGGAATAGTTTCTTGGGGGTTTACAGTTCGTAAAATTAAAATACTTACTCAAAAAAAAAGAGATGTGCACTGCACCAATAAGCTAAAAATTTGACCAGAGAATCTGGCCTAACTTTAGCTTAAAAAAAAAAGTTGCTTTCTTGAAATTTGAGATATCGTGCTTTTTAACTATTTGCAATATTTAGTCTTTGTATTTAGTCCATTGTAATTGTTCTAGCAAAGTCTTCAATAAACTTGACTGCTATTTCAACCATATCACTAAAGACTCTGTAATAGTGAACAAACATGGCAGCCTCATTATATGCTGCATCAGTCCTCCATTGTGAGGCATTGCAATTTCTGATGTATCATTCAGATTCAGGCACAGAAAGCAGTTTACAAAAAAAGGCAAAAACTATTTCTTGTTACGTTTCAGTTAACGGTCGCGAATGTCAAGCGTTTTGTATATTGATCGCTGAGCAAGTAAGTCCCAATGGTGGTGAAAATCCTTAAATTCTGGTGTATCTGGGCTGGATGTTGGACCAAATAATTTCTGCCAAACTGGACACAAAATTCTTTCCAATACAAAGTGTCGACAGTTAAAGTAGAATACTTTTTTGCCTAGTCATGTCTCCAACCTAACACAGGGCCCATTCTTCCTACCGGAATTAGAAACAGTTGTATCAAAAACTAGATCTACAATGGCGTTTTTAACACTCCACTCCTGTATCACAGCATTGGTTGCCTGGGTTGTCCTAATCCCATCAATTATGACAGGAACATCAAGCAGTTTTCCTTTTCTGCGAGCTGACAGTCCTGCTATGAGAACAGCAAGTTTCTCTAGGTAAAATTTTTCCATCCCTGTAAAGTGCGGCATACTGTGCAGTGTAAAGTGTGGCATTCTGTGCAGTAAATGGTGGTTTTGTATGAAGAGCTCTTTCTGTTTGAATTTCCTTCCCTGCTCTTCTGGTACTTGACAGTGTCAAATTTTTCAAATTAGCGCCACCCTCTGATATAACTGCAGCCATTAATGCTATTTTCTGACCAGCTGACAAATTCAACCTATCGGCCATTGTAGGAATTATTGCACTATTTAACAGGTTTTTTGGAAGCTAAAGTGTTACCATGTGTTTCTTTTTTGTCACAATTCTCTTTTACACGACAGAAAACTTCTGATCTTCTGGTAAATCAACAGAACTGCTACCAGAACTTTCATTTTCTGATTGTTGACTTGAGGATTCACCAATCATTAAAAACAGGTTTTATTTGCTTTGCGAAGACCTTACTTCTCTTTATTTTAAGCTCTTCTTTTCTTGTGTAGACCTTGTCTTTTGCATCCAGACACATCTTTTTTTGAGCTTGAAGAGCACTCAGGAATTCATGATCTTTGTCCCTTTTTTTTTTTTTGGCACGAAGTCTGGCATTTTCTATTTTTGCCTTGTTATCTTGATGTCATCATCTTGGCATCTTGATGTCATCATCTTGGCATCTTGATGTACTATGAAAAAGTACTGATTTAACTCTTCACTAAAATTTTTTAATTATTCTTCGTTTGATGTCCTATAGTTATCACACAGATTAATCTTTGCTTTTACCTTGTTGTTACGTTATACTTTAATGGTTTTAGTCCTTTGCTGCTGAACTTCATTATCATTAATTTATCTTTCAAATAAAAGAATAATCAAATAAATCTCCATTTGTAGAGACTCTGCAACCTGGTAATATCAATATGGGGTTTTCTATGTAAGTATATATTTACATTAAAACTATATTTAAACTTACAGTGTTAATAGTTAAATCTGTTCTCTGTGGCATTAACGCTGGTGGTGTTTGATATGCTTCTGGGATTACTACCAAACCTGGCTAAAAATTAAAATAGTTATATCAGATGCTAGGATTAAATACACAAGATTGAATACACTTGATTATATACAAATATGGATTCAAATACTTTTATTCTAATTACTAATTCGAAAATAAGTATAATTAATAATAATAAGTATTAATATTAAATATATGCATTTACTAAATAATCTTTTCATTTTCTAGTACTTGAAATAATTGATTTAATTGTTTAAAGTATTGAAAAATAAAATTTAAAAATAATTAATATTCTAACATATATCTAACTTGATATCTTTGAATTTCATAATTTATAACTAAACTTTTGAATATAAATTGTACCTTTATATCTCGCAACAGTTTATTGGATTGGTGAAAATTAAGACGTGGATCAATAGGACAAAACACAGCCTACACAGAAAATTTATTTTACTTTTATTATATGTGTATCAAATTTAATTAAATTAATACAGTCGATGATAAAAAGTCAATATAACACAGAATATAAATAGTTATTTTTGAAAATTAAAAAAAAAATTGTACATAAGTTATGTACATAAATTAAAAAAAAAAAAAAAAAAAGCACAACAGTAGAAACAATTAAACAACGTTTGTTGTCACTGAAATTACAACATGAAAGTACACCCTGAAATTACACCCCATAACATGAAAGTAGTCACAACCAGATGTTTCTTTAACAAACTATAATCAACCAGAATTAATAGATACTTACTGACATGTACAAAGAGCAACTAATGGGTCACAACTAAAATTTTGCCCAACTTTTAAAACAAGATATCTCAGTCATTTTACAATTTTTTTTAAAACGGTTTTTTGCATTTTATAAACAACAATTTTAAGTGTTAGAAAAAATGTCTTTTAAAGTTTTTCGATTCCATTCCTTCTAACAAAATCGAGTCTTTTGTGTACCGAGCTGAAGGTGCGGTGTATAAGGTCTTTGTCCAAATTACGAAGGCAAAGACTGACTCTAGCTTTGAGTTGAGTGATAGTTTTAGCCTGCCAGTCCTTCTCATACACTTTCTGCTTCAAAAATCCCAAAAATCCTCAATTGGCCTGACTTTCGGGACGTTTGCTGGGTTGTCTTGTTTTTGTACAAAATTGACTTTTTTGTCTCTGAGGTCGGCGTGGACTGAGTTTGCATAGTGGGAGCTAGCTAAATCGGGCCAGAATACGTATTTACCATCCCTATAGTATTTGTTAATAAAAGGAATCAACCTCTTTCGTATACACTCGTCACGGTAAATATATTGATTGATTGCCAGGCCAGACTTGAAAAATTTGACACTACTCATTCCTCGAGGTGAAACGGCCACCCAAACAAGTAGTTTTGACTCGTATTTTGCCTTCATTTTGTTCTTCACATCAGTAGGAGTCTTTTGAATATCATCTGAGTAAAATCGGTCATTCCCAGCCAAAGTTGTGTTGGAAAGAGTGAAGTACGATTCATCATCCAAAATAAAATCGACATCACGAAATTTGAGGAAAAGTCGTCCACACTTTGGCCTTGCTAACTTGACTTGTAAGGCTGTCATCTTTGGTTTGACGGTGCATTTTAGACATCTGATATTTGTTCTTTGCAATAGCATCTTTGAAACGTATTGCTGAGTCGTTTTTAGCTTGCTAGCTACTCTTTTCTGTGAGCAGCCTTCCGATGATTGAAGAAATTTTTCATCTTATGTATGTTGTTTGCAGTCGCTATAGTGGTCGGAGGACCGCTTCCTTTTTTCCTAGTTAGTACTTTATTTTGTTCCAGCATGCTAAGCCAATGATTTAAAGTCCTTTTTGGAGCTCCCATGCTGATAAATTTATCAAAAATATGTTTTTGCCCCAGTCCATGGTTTTTTTGATAGTATTTATACAAAATGGATTTTAGATCTTCATACATTATAGCGTGATATTTTTTGAACTACAAATCATACGAACTATTTAAAAATATATTTGAATAGAGAATGCTTTTGAGTATATTCTGTTAAAATTTTAAAAATATACACAAAGCAGATCTTTATTGACATTATCCCAAAGTTTGGGCAAAATTTTAGTTGTGACCCGTTATGCTTAATAAAAAACATAAAACTAAACAAATGATTAGGCAATGATTGTTTTATTATTTTTGTAATATTTATTATGTTAACAATACTAGAAGAAAACCTTCTGAAAAAGTGAGTAGTGATGCTCATTTGTGAACATTACTCCATGCTGTATGACTTTTTATAATAATGGAATGATGGAAACAATGAAAAAATGGGGTATACATGTACTCTATGAAATAAAGTATCAAGAACTTAAAAGAAATATCAGAAATTATTTAAAAGTAAAAACCATAACACAAAATATATAAATCATGTGTTTATAAGGTCTATGTATATTATTTAGTACAAAACATATGTTAATAAAGTCTATGTATATTGATCAGTACAAAACAGGTCTATGTATATTATTCAGTAAAAAACATTTTAATGGCGAGAGAGAGAGAGACTTCAGAGGCAATTCAACTTAGAGAAATACAACTATTGTTAATGTCCTTAATGATTAAAAATTAAAAATTCTAAAATTCAACTGTTTTTTTTTTTTTAACCAAATTTACACATAACAAAGCTGCAAGAAACCATTAGTTTTTAATGAAATAAAAAGAGTTGAAGGAGCAAGAAAATGACGGAATAAACAAAAAATTGTATGAGACAGGATAACATGGAAAGGAGGGAGAATTTCAAAGCACAAATGTTTAAGGGAAAAAACTTGAGGAATGTGAAAAATGTTGAAAAATGCTTTTTGAGAAGGAACTGTTACAGTAAAAGGTTTGATGACTATTACTTTCTAGACCCTCACAACTTAAATTTAAGTTTTGATTGATGAAACAAGAGATAAAAGATTGCATTATTAGCAAATCTGGTATATTTATATATAAGAGAAACAGACACAACTTTACAAGAATGGGTATAGGCTCAAGTTTGGCAACTGGAGCAAATCCAGCTTCATTAACAACTCATTTTCAGACCATTCTAAAAGAGAAAGAACATCTTTAGAAAAACTAATGCAAAATACGACAGCAGTATTCTGTATAATTAAAATTAGAAATTTATTGATGTTGGAATCAGGAGTAAGAAAATGACAAGCATGGTGAATAAAAAAAGAAAAAAGACTTCAACATTGGAACAATTATTAGCAGTAAACAACTGAGTTTTGTTTGGGGTTCACAAGCCAGTAATAAGAGTGCAAACCTGCAGAAAAGAAATCACTTTCTAGATTGGCTGCCTATTTTAAGCAAACAAAAAGTGATGAATTTTAGTCAAGACTGAAACATAAAGCTGTTTCATTAGCAAAAAAAACCCACTTTAAAGGTAAATTATCAGGAAGATAGTTAATAAGGATGAATAACAACACAGGACCAAGGATGGAACCTTGTAGTACTCCAAAAGTTACTTTTTGGCTACTACAAGCAGGGATGCAGAGTTCATCGATTTTTTGAGACTCCTTGAACTTTTTGTTAAATTTAAATTGTTTGAATCTGGAGATTCTACGGATAAGAAAACCCCAAAAAGCAATAGGGTACTATTAAATTTTCTTGTATGAATTAAATGTTTAAGTTAGTTTGTCCAATAGTAACTAAATAATAAAAATTATTGGAACTTTGAATAAAAAAAAGAAATCTGTACATTTTATGTGTCAACACTCTTATAGCAAATTTTTAAACGATCAAGTATTTTATTTTACTTAGAATAATAGCTTTTTTAAAAATATTTTATTGAACCCACATTTATTGTGTAGCAAGATTTGCACATAACACAACATGAAATGCCTTCTAATGGAATGAAGCGGTATAAATACTGCATACTGCTTGAATGGAACTATTGGTAGACACCCACACGCCAATTTGTTAAATACCTTTTTCAGATGCGCCAGTTTTTTAAATTATTTTTTTTACCTACAACAGCTTTTTGTTTAAATGAAAACTAAAATTTAAAGTATGAGATCGAAAAAAATGAGAATGGATCTTTTCATAAAAGTTTTAAATTAAAAATAAAGTTTTTTTTTACAAATTTCGTTAACTTTTATTCATAGTTAAGAAATTAAAAAAAAAATAAAAATAGTACAAAAAAATACTTTTAGTTTCAAAAAAATTTTTTTATACTAAAAAATAATCCTACATTACTGGTGATGGTGTTCATTAATTTCTGCACAACTGTTGTCATTGTCTTGCTTATGGTTGACCATGCCTTCAGCAATTCTTGTACTGAATTAATAGTCTTGCTTGTTTTATGCAAATACTCTTTGCCAATACCCCAGTATTTTTTATGATGACCGAAATTGTGGGCAATTTGGATTGAGCTTTCTTGGTACAAATTTACCCTTTCTCAATTTATACCACTCCAAAGTTTTTATAGCGTAGTGGCACAAAGCTAAGTCAAGCAAAAACATACAAGGTCTAGCATGTAATCAAATAAGTGACAAAAGTCGCTTTTGAAGGCACTCTTAAATATAAATACCTGATATCAAAATTGATGTTATCACATAGGCTCTACTTTTTTTTTTACAACTACAAATTGCTTGTCATAAGAGCAAATTTTTGCAATATTTTTTGCAATATAATTTTTTGTTTGTATTTTTACCTCTTATTTCTACTTACATGAACAATTGAGATATAATATTTGTCACCAGAAAGTTGACTAAAGTCATATTTTATGTAAGTCTCGCTGTTTATCAAAATGCTTCCATTCAATTTTGTCAAAACTTGGGTGTAAAGTTTTCATGCTCATGTTTTGGCAGTGGAATTTTATTTGATAGAATGATTTAGACATTTAATTGCTTGAAAAGACTTTTACGAGTAATTGTAGCATTTCTTGGAAAGACGTAATTGTAAGACGTAATTTCTTCACTTTCCTTACCAAAAAATTAAAAACTTTGTACTTTTTAGGGCTTACTCTGTTAGGCAAGGCTGGATTTTTTTTTGAAAGAACAACGAATCTTGTTAAACTTTTTTTTCTTTCATATTCTTTAGCTTGTTCAATGGATAAACTCTTCCTATATTGTTTTATAACCCTTCCAACAGTAGATTTAGGAATTACAGTAGCTTGTGAGACTCGTTTCAGTTCCATGATTTTCTTCATGAATGTGCAAGATTTATTTCCAATATTTAAATTGCTTTGATGACATTTTCATAAATTAAAATTTGAATTTCTTTTTTTCTGTTTACTATTATCTATACTTGATTAAACTATCATTACTTGATTAAATTATTATTTTTCTTAATTGTTTTTTTTTTATGTGTTGGTAATTTAGTTTAAATGTAGTTTCGGTTTCTCTTTTTTTTTTTTTTTTGATCTCATGCTTCTCTTACATTAATTTACTAAATTTTAGGTCTTTTAAAAAATTTTCAAAATCTCTTGAAAAGCATTTTAAAAAACACTGTAAAAGATTATTACTTTTTTTATTTATGTAAAAAATTATTATTGTTAAGTTTCAAATTAGGCTTTATACATTATAAATAATATTGCAATAAAATCATATATGATTACAAAACAATGTTAATTAAAATCTAATGACCATAACATCATAAAAAGATTTAATTAGAAAATTCATGCATTTTTTTTTTCTCAATATCTTAACAGCCAACAAGGCTGCAAGCAACCATTATTAGAATTGGAAACTACTGGAAGAGAAAAGATTAAGTTTATAGACCAAGACAACAATTAGCAGACGACTTAAAAGATTGTAAATTGTATGAATCAGGAAAACAAGATGAAAGGAGCAAATTCCAAAGAACTGATATTCGAAGAAAAAAACTAGATGAATAAGAATTTTTGGAGCACTTAGGAACAGCCACTTAGGAACAGTTACTTAGGACACACAGTAAAATGATAAGACTTAAATGACAAATAACACAAGAATGAATTTTTGGTAGATGGTACAAGAGACGCTAGTCTTTAGAGCAGTGACCATTATAGTATTTATAGAAAAGATAAAAGAGAAGCAACATTATGACAATAAGAAAATGGTTGGTTGTAGGGGTAGGTTCACAATGCATTTTTACACCTTGTCCAAAAGAGAAAAGGCATCATTTAAAGATCCCCCCAGATATGGTAACAGTATTCCATACAAGGACGGATTTGAGATTTATAGACATAATGAATAGAATCCTGAGTAAGAAAGTAGCAAGCACTATAAAGAGATGCATCCTTAGCAGATGCTAATTTTGCAATCGATTTGATATAAGGTTTCCAAGAAAGATCGGAGTTAATCCTAGAAGATGAAGGGTAGATAACTCATCGAGTACATTACCATTTATAAATATTTACAAGAAAAAACAGTATAAGCAATACTTTGCAATATCTGCAGCAGTTGTTTGTTTGGTTGTGCGGCCATGGCACAGTGGTTAGAGTGCTTGCTTTACAAGCAGGAGATCCAGGTTTGAAACGAGCTTTTGGACATAATTTCGCGTCACGGTAAGGAGGCGTGAACTTCCTAGTTAAATGCACTTCTATGGTGCTCTGTGACAAGACCATTAGGTCTTCTTGGGGCACCTAAATAGCAAAAAGAAAATATATATATATATATATATATATATAGGAAGATCTAGATTATTTTGATAACAATTAGCTGAAAAAAATTGAATTTTATCTGAGTTTCACGAGCCACTGTGAGCCACATGCTGTAGCAGAAGTGAGATCCTTTTCAAGCTCAAATGCCCCCTCCAAAAAATCAGAGAGTGTTGGCTTCTTATCAAGACTAGAATAAATGGTAGTGTCATAAGCGAAAACCTTATCAAATGTAAGAATTTCTGGGAGATTGTAAGTGTAATTTAAAAAAAGTATAGGCCCAAGAATAAAACCTTGAGGAACCCCTGAAGTTACAGGGTATAAAGAAGAGTAATGTCCATCAAGGAAAACTTTTATACTACGATTGGTAAGGAAAGATTCAATAGAAGATTTCGGAATTAACTGGCTATTATGAACCACATGACGCAATGTTATTCTAGGGAGGGCAAAAATGTAAACAAATCTTGTAAACATAATTTTTTTAAACATAAAAACTAACAAGTAAATAATAAAACGAACTAGGTAAAAAATTTCAAAAGTTATATGCATTTACTCACATTAATATAATTTATATGTAAGTTAAGAGAAATTTAGATTTATTATTTAAATAAAATCTTCTCTGTAAATCTTCAAGTAAATAAAATAGAAAAGATGTGAGCATATAGTTAAATTGTATTATCAATTTAGATTTATTTAAATTTATTTGATTGTTTATTTATTTTCTTGTTATTTAAATATCAATTTAGTATGATTTAACTTTGGTTATTCTTATGTAACTCATAATTTTAATTATTCTTTAATATTTTATTATTATGTGGAGTTTATATTGTATTTAAACAGTGTGCACTTTGTATGCCTCTAAGTGCTTCTAAAGGAATACAAATATTAAAAGAAAAAGTTCAAGAAACATAAAACATTGCTAATGTTCGCATTTATGTAAAGCAGGCAAAAAAAAAAGGATAAAACATTTCCGTATTTTAAAAATAACACAGCCATTGTTATATCTACCAATCATGAATAATATACTGCGCGTATGTGCTGCTATATCAAACTTAAGAAAACCACTAGTTTCTAAATAGTCTTTGATAAAAAAATTTTGTTTGCTAAATATTTTTTTTTTTATAATGCAATTTTTATAAAACAATGTTAATCTATGATTATAAGAAGCTTAAATTTTTTTCTGTTTATACTACTGTTACTTTTTATTTTTTTTCTGTTTATACTACTGTTACTTTTTAATTTTTTTCTGTTTATACTACTGTTACTTTTTAATTTTTTTCTGTTTATACTACTATTTACTTTTTAATTTTTTTCTGTTTATTTTTACTGTTTACTTTTGAATATTTTTCTGTTTATTTTTACTGTTTACTTACTGTTTAAATTTTAAGTCATTATTATTAAAAATGAATTTATATCAATTAGGTTTGAAACATATGTAATAAAGTATATGTATAAGCAGTTGCTTTTTTTAAAATCAAGTCTATTTATTTTAAATTAAAAATTTCAACCCAGTTTTTTAATTATAAAATCTTTTAAAAATAAAAAAAAAAACTTCAAGAAATAAAACTTTTTGTCAAAAAAAAAAAAAAAAAAAGAATGAAAAAAAAAATGATCATATATTTCTAATATGTTTTAGATAAAGAAACTAAATGTAATGACTGATAAGAAAGAATTAGATGTACTGATTGATTTCATATAAACATATAACACATATAAAGACATACTATTGAAGTTAATTAATACAAAGTAGACATGGAGCACATGTAACAAATCCAGTATTGATTTGCTAATAACTCATTATCTTCTTTTTTAAAATTTTGACAAGAACAGTGAAACCAAGCACAACCTATTTCACACTGAATACTGCTATATTGGTTAAACTTATTAGCACTGATTTCTGGCTGATTTAAGTATTAACTTGTCACATTTTCCACCGAATGTTATAAGTTCTAATAGTAATAACGCTGGAGAAACATGTTTTCTTCACTTTCCTTAAAATATAAAAATATCTAAATTTATTTTCACCTTATCCAAGAGCATTTGATTTTCTTGATTTTACACTCAAATCAATTTCTATTTGGGAATTGATTTGAGTGTAATATTTATGAATTTTTAAGTTCTAAGTTTTAAGTTCTAAGTTTTAGAATAATGTAAAAGTCGAAACTTTAGTTCCACAAAGATGTGTTCACTGGATCCTTGGTCACACTTGATCATTGGTCAAATTTGATCCTTGGTCACACTTGTTCCTTTTATTTAACAAAAATACAAACTCAGACACTGGTTAGTAGTTAGTTCAGAACTGCTAAATGCTGAAAATCATTTTTAGGACTGAATAAATATTAATAATTACTTTTTATCAAAGACTGTAATATATTTTAAAATTATTTTCAGTAAAATAATATTTAAACAAATTAAAATTAGAAAACTAAATTTACTTTCATAGATAATGGCTGATAAGGTGTTAAAGCTTCAAGGTATGGGAATTCAGAATCTAAACGATAACTTAAATAAAAATCATCATCATTACCATCACTATCACCACCATCATTATCATCATCATCATCATTATTATCATCATCATCATAATCATCATCATCATTACGATCATCATAACCATCATTATTATGATGATCATCACCATCATAATCATCATCATCATCATGATCATCATAACCATCATTATTATCACATCATCATCACCACCATCATCATCATTAAAACTTACCAATAAATATGACTGTGTTTCCACTTTCATGACCCCACAAATTCAAAAAATGTACTACATCTCCAAAGCGCAACGATGGATGGCCAGTAAAAACTATTGAAGGAGTTTTCAAACTACTGCTCAATCCACCTAGCAACAAGAAAAATTTCATACTAAAAAATTTAATACTTTATCAAATAACATTCTTGAAAACTTTTTTAAAAAAATGTTATGTCATAATACAAATGAAAAAAATATTTTTTACTGTGCAAATTTTCATAATGTTTTATTCTTCCATTTTTTACCAACTGAAATAAAGAATAGACATCATTATATACACTTACTATAGTTACTACTGTAATTTATATAAAAAGTAAATCAATTAGATTTTATATAAAAAGTCAAAAGACAGTATAAAAATATAAAGGGAGAACCTTAATAAATATAATGAATAATTGAAATTTTTACCAGTTTCAACATTTTTTCTCTCATTTACTGTCTTTTCTGGAGTTTTAGTTAATATACTACTTTTACCCTGGTGTCTTCTTTTTCTAGAATTTTTTCTTTTTGAACTATTTTCACTATTTTGACAATTGTTTTTTTTTTTTGTATAAAAATTATCTGGTTGTAAAATTTCTGATTTCTAGACTGAAAGAGGTCTGTCACTAACACTAGACAATATAAAATCACTTTCCCAGAATATTTGTCTATTGAGTGGTTATATCCCACATTTTTAGAATTCAAACATTTTTTATTTTGAATGACATTGTATGCTGCGCATGCTAGGCAAATTATAAATGTTCATAATCCTCCCTGGATTAGAAGCCAACCATTTTTTCTGAGCCAATCTGAAATAAGATTTAAAAGGCCCAAACACTAAAACATCTAATGGCTTCAATCTATGGCTGCAGTGTGACCGAAATGTTAACAAATCAAAGAGTTCTTTTTTGCAAATTTTATTATTTCAAATGAAATGTGGCTTTAATGGTTGTCCATTAATAACAGCACTGGATGATCCACAGATAGCTTAGTATGGGATACAAAGTGATTTATTGCAACTAAAATGTTGTCACTTGTCATCTAACCACTTTTTTTACACAACCCTAAGTTTCCTGTCAGTGCTCCACTTATCACAAAATCCTTATATTTTACTCGGATATAAATACCAAAAGAAAGAGGTCATCACCAACGACTCTCTTTCTGCTGAAGTAGCTTGACATACTCAAGTAGCTCCACGAGTTGAAATAACCTTTGAAGGGTCTGTAACATTTCTGTAACAATAAGTTTTTTGATGACGCATCAAAAAACTTTCCATTCATTGTTTTCCTGGCATTTTATTAAGGTACCATGAATTAGGTATATTTTTTAAACTCAATGCAACACTATACTTGTAAGCTAACTCCCTACTTTGTAGTTTACCTTTGAAGACATCAAACAAACAAGAGCACTTTCATCAAAAGCATAAAAAATTTCTTACAGTTTGCAATGTATTTAAAGTTTTCTGGCAGCTTTAAAAATCTTGTCATTTTTAAAGCTCTATCTACTGTACAGCTCTACCTATTGTAGATTTTGCTAAATTATATTTGTTAGCTGCATTTTGAATCAACATAAACACTTTTGACTGCATCTTCAACACCTAAAGAATTTTTTCAAATTAATTTTGTGTTAAGTTTCATCTAAAAAGATTTTAAAACTTCATAAAAATCAAATATATGCCAATGTCATAGGATATTTGTATTATATGATCAAACTATGAACACATTTGTGGTGGCAGTGTGTATAATAACAATTACAAAAACAAAACTAAATATCAAAAGTAAACTAATTTGTTAAATATATAAATTGTTATTATTATTTTATTAATCTGTAAAATATATTAACAAGGTAAAAATGTACACTACTGTTCATAATTATTCAAATGACATTAACTTTTTTTTTAAATGCTATTTTTTATTTAATTATTTTTTATGTTTATTTTTGAACTATTAGATAACTTAAAAGTATTTTGATTAAAATACTTTGATAAAAATCATAAGTATAGTGAAAATACTAAACTGGGCAAAACTACATAAAAAATGGCCCATCAATGACTGTAAACAAGGACCAAAGTGTCGAAGTTTTAAATTTTTAGTTTCAAGATAAGATTTTTTGTCTGGAAAAAATCATTAAGTGTATGATAGAATAGTGTTTAGGTGTAGGGTTGTTTTGGTTGGAGTGCCACAGATGACTTTGTAAAAATAGAGGGAGTATTGACAAAAGAAGCTTACTTGGACACTTAAAAAATCGCGCTACACCTTCGGAAAGGTGTAGCATCATTTTTGAAAGCTTAAATTCATTTTCTTCTTTTCAGAAGAAAATGATTTTAGGCTTTTATGTAAAATATATTTTTCAAAAAATTGTATAATTTATTTGGCTGAGTTCAAGAACGATCAAATATCGAATAGAATGATTTTGATATCTTATATAGAGCAATCAGTACAACCATTTGAATAATTTGAACCATTTGAAGGTAGTGTATATAAGTAGAATAAATCACTACAAACTAAACATTTAATTAAATAAAAAAAACTACTTAAATAAACTATTGATGGACTTTACTTTAAAGAATATAAAAAAAGTTTTTTTAAATTACTTAAAATCTAACTTTTAAAGTTGTTTAAGTGAAAACATATTGATTAATTTCTTTGAACTTCAAGCAGTTTAAATTTTAACTAAAGCATAGGCCACACTCATTTAGAACTGCACCATCAAAACTGGGATTAACGTTAAATGAAATAAAATATATGTGTGACTATAACTATAATGCCAAAACACTTTCTTTTAACAGTTTGTATGAACAAGTCCCATTCAATAATCATTACTTTGTTTCAATCAATAGGCTTCCCACTTTATACACAAATGAAGGGCCAGACTACAGATTACCTTAATGTGAATGGTTTAAAATTTTTAAAACTATAGACAAGTTTGTATTTAAAAAAGGAATTTTATTTTCCATAACTTCAGTAACCACTGAAAAATCAGAAAAACAAAATTGTTTTTTAAAATTACTTTTTGTTCTTTAAAATACAAAATCATCTAATGCTATTATGTTTAAACCATAGTAGCAATAATGATTCGATCTATTGAATGGCTGTATCTAACACTTTCTTTCACATGAATTTGAATATCTAATTGTAGATGCTTCTATGCAAACTTGATTTTGTCTCATTCAATAATTGTCCCATTCATTAAGGTTCTCCCCTATACTTTTGTAATATTATAGTATGTTAAGTAAAAACTACAAACCTCATGATGTAAAAAAGGTGGTTCAGGCAAATACACTTTTGCTTGTTTATTTGTATTGAGCCTATATAGTAAAATGTATATCATTGTTTATGTTTTGTGTTTTATTCATAAATAACAAATAATAATAGTACTTTACTCATTAATAATATTAATTATTAAAATAAATTAAAATCTATTTGTATATATTCAAATACAAAAAAAAAAAAATACAAAAACTCAACTGTAAATTTTGGAAGTCAATATGTAGGGTAATTAATTGTTAATAGTTTACAATTAATTAAAAAGTTAATAGTAAGTTTGTAGAGAGTACCAAAAAATCCTTTTGGGTTACTGCTATATACACCAAGGACATTTTACTGACAATCTTTGGGGTATTTCTATATACACCTATAGAGGTGTACACTGGGATTTTTGTTGGTCGTTAGAAAGGTAACAGAAAATAATCAGTTTGTTAATTTTGGTTGCCAAACAACTTTGTGAGTTGCCGATTGCAATTTTTATAGAAATTTTTGCATTCAGTAAATTTCTCACATATTCTAGTCACTTTTCATTATAGGACTAAGTGTAGACTACAAACAATTTGAATAAATAAAAGTAATATTGTTAACTATTGATAACATTTACTTTTCTACTTTCAGATAAAGCGCATGCCGATATATACGCCATAAGATTTTCACTTGAATCAAGTGCTTATTTTATCAAAAAAATATTTGCTCTTTTTTACAACAACAAAGTATTGACAAATATAAAAAAAAAAACAATATAGAAATACTTTAAAACCCTTTTGCTTTTAATGTGTTGAAATTATTAAGATCTTTTTTGTCACAAGAATTTAAAAACTATTTGATACTTTAAAGTATCGCGTTGTAATTAAATTTAATTTTAAACCTCGCTAAAAATTATTTTAACTAATTTAACAAAAACTATTGAATCTAAATTTGGTATTTGAAAGCGATTACATTTCTTTATAGTTTATTTCTTAAAACAATCTTATACATAATCTTGTGTTTGTTTGCCACAACTTATTTATTTTAATATTTACATATTAAATGTAGTATTTTTAATAAAGATTATAAACAATTTATAGATAGATTTTATCAGTTACCAATAAGATATTTGTAAACGTAATTTATGTTCTTAAACGTATAACATTGAAGGAACTTGACATGATGTTGAATTAATAAGAAACAAAAAATACATTTGTAAAAAGAATTCTCTTAAACAAAAGCACTTCTTCCTTTTTATATTCAAAAAAAAAGTTTTTGATTTCCTTTTGCTTATAATAACCTATGATAATCTATGACTTATATTTACATAATGATTAATATTTGCATATTAAATTAGTTAGCAGACGATTAGAAAAAAGCTTTAATAAAAATTGCATAACTATTTTACATTCATTTGAAACTAAATTTTACATTTAATGTTTTACAATTTTACATTCCTTCAAAACTAAATTTAAATTTTTAAAATCATAATTTAAAGTCTACTAAAATTAAAATTTTTATAAAAGAATTTGTTTCTTAAAAAAATTCTCAGTTGCAGTTAAATGCTTTTTTTACTACCTAATATTTTCTAAATAAACATCACATAAACAATGTTAAAAGATAATTTAAACATTCCAAAAAAAATAGTTTTTGTCTAACAGAATGCTATTGACATTTATATTTTACAAAAAAGTTTTTGCTTAAAGGTGAGTTTCCAGTTATCTGTTTTTTCACAGGAATGGAAAAGGGAAGAGTAAAATAATCATCTGGGCATGCATAGTATAAGTTTCAATTTATCAGAAGGAAAACTGCGCATGTTCACATGATTATTTTTCCCTTTTATATTGTGTTCCCGTAGAAAAACGTATGAGTGGAGTTTTTTTTTGGTGAAGTTAGCTCCATTACTTTATCTTTAAATACTTAAATAAAATTTGTAAAAAAATATATTGTTTATTATTGTAAATAAATAGTATTGTTGTTTAAATAATAAGACTTTAGTTTTTATTTAGGAAGTATTTCAGTAACTAACTACTTACTCCAACTACAAAACCTACAATCACCTTAGACTCCTGTACTTTGTTAGATGCAGTGTTTTTCCTAATGCACTTCCAAAATGTCATGCCTGGTTTTCTCAAAGTACTGTTGCGGGAAGTAACTCCTTTTAACTACTCCAGCTCAGGTCAGGATAATCAAGATCAAACTTGCTACTGGTATCACGTAACCCAGTACCACCTGCCACAAGCCCTGCGGCCTTGCAGAGTGTGCTCTTCTTATGCAAAGGCTAGGAGAAATAAACTCTGACTAAAAATTCCCCTGCCTTGGGGCTCTTGGTTGAGTAAAGGCTAGAGATGGTGCCTCGATTTTTTAGGTGTCTCGATCTATTAGGCTGGCGTAGATGTAACCCAAAGTAACCAAAAATTTAAAACCTAAAAAACCATCCCCACCACCTAAATATTTTAATATATCTTTTACAAATATTCGCGGTCTACGAAGCAACTTTCCATCAGTTGAGTCTTACCTCCTGCAAAATTCACCAGACTTGCACTCAGTGAAACAAATTTAAGTTCTGCAATTCCTTCTTCAGATGTCAGTGTTGATGGGTACTATCCTTTGATTCGTAAAGACTCCAATAGTCACATGCTAGGTTTAGGGGTATACATACGCATTAATTCCCCTATTTGTTGTGAAATCAGGTTCGAATCCTTTGACCATTCTTTTATGTGCTTTCGCCTTCTTCACTCTATCACCTTTCTCTTTGTTCTTTATCGTTCTCCTTCTTCCCATGATTGCACTCTTTTAGATGTTATCTCTGATCAAATTGACCATGCCCTCTCTCTTTACCCCTCTGCCAATATTGTTGTTGATGGTGATTTTAATGCCCATCACACTGAATGACTTGGCTCTAACACCACTGATCCTGCTGGCACTAAAGCCTTTAACTTCTGCGTTTCTCAATCTCTTACTCAGATAGTTAACTTTGTGACTCGTTTTCCTGACAACCCTAATCATTTACCTTCACTCCTTGACTTATGTCTTGTCTCTGACCCTAGCTTATGTTCAGTTTCTCCCTTTTCTCCTTTAGGTGGTTCTGACCATGCAATGATCTCTATAAATCTTTCTTCTCGTACTTCTTTTTTGGGCTCACCTTATCATCGCACCACCTACTACTACCCTAAAACTGACTGGGATTCCTTTCGTGATTTTCTTCGTGATGGTCCTTGGGCTGATGTCTTTTCTCTCTCAGCTGACAAATGCGCCTCCTACGTAACCTCCTGGATTCAGGCTGGAATGGAAGCTTTTATTCCTTCGCGTCGGTTTCAAGTCAAGCCTCATTCTACTCCATGGTTTTTTCCTTCTTGTGCGGCTGCTATATCCAATCGTAATCATTTTTTTCATCTTTTTCAAAAGAACAACTCTCTTGAGAACAAACAGCTATTTATTATTGCAAGAAATCGATGTAAAAAGGTGCTTTCTGATGCTAAACTCCATTATTCTCAGTTCACTAAATCTCGCATTTTATCACAGAAGTTAGGCTCTAAAGACTTTTGGAAAATCTTCAACAGCATTATTAACAAGGGTAGATCTAACATTCCATCTCTCATTCATGGGACTGATTTTATTACCTTTCCCAAGGATAAGGCAGAACTATTTGCAAAGAACTTTTCTAATTCCACTCTTGAATCTTATGGACATTCTCTTTCTTCCATTCCAGTCAAACAGGTTGACCCATTGTTAGACATTCAAATCACTCCGGCTTCTGTTGCTAAAGTCATATCTCAATTAAACTCGTCTACAGCTTGTGGTCCAGACAACATTCCTGTCACAGTCTTGCAGAATTGTTCTCCTGAACTTTCTTCAATTCTCTCTAAACTATTTAACAAGTGTTTGACTGAGTCTTGTTTTCCTGCTTGTTGGAAAATGGCATCTGTGGTTCCAATATTAAAAAACTCTAGAAAATTCTGACCCCTCCAATTATCATCCGATCAGTCTTCTTTCCGTTATTAGCAAGGTCTTTGAGTCTTTAATCAACAAATTCCTCACATCTCATCTTGAGTCAAATAAACTGCTGTCAGACAATCAATACGGTTTTTGATCCTCTCGCTCTATGGCCGACTTGCTAACTGCTGTAACTGAAAGATTTTATTGTGCATTAGATGGAGGCGGTGAGGCTAGGGCTATTGCTCTCGACATATCTAAAGCTTTCGACAAAGTTTGGCATACTGGTCTTCTCCATAAGCTTGCTTCATATGGTGTTTCTGGGAAAGTTTTTGAGATTATCAAATCATTTCTTCCTAACCGGTTTATTAAAGTCATCCTTGAAGGCCAACCTTCTTCTTTATTTCCAGTAACTTCTGGGGTTCCCCAAGGTTCCATCCTGGGCCCTGTTTTGTTTCTTATCTACATAAACGATCTTCCTGACAACCTTTCATCTAAAGTAGCTCTTTTTGCTGATGACTCAACTTTATACTCCTGTCTTGACAAAAAGTCTTCTCTTTTCGATCGCCTAGAACAAGCAGCTGATCTTGAATCTGATCTCACTTCAGTAATAGATTGGGGTTCACAGTGGCTTGTGAATTTCAACTCTAAAAAAACCCAATTGCTTACTGCAAACAACTACCGTAATATGGTCAACATTTCTATATTAATGAATGGCAATCCTCTTACTGAGTCCTCCTCTCTACGCCTTCTTGGATTATCGCTTACTACTGACTTTTCATGGAAACCATATATACAATCGATTGCTAAATTAGCTTCTGCTAAGGTTGCTTCTCTTTATCGTGCTCGCCATTTCCTTACTTCTGATTCCATTCTCTACCTCTACAAATCTCTTATTCGTCCCTGTATAGAATACTGTTGTCATATTTGGGCTGGTTCTTCTAACGATTCACTCTCTCTTCTTGACAAGGTCCAAAAACGCATTGTAAATGTTGTTGGATCTGGACTATCTGCTAAGCTTGAACCTCTTTCCCATCATCGTAAAGTTGCATCTCTTTCTCTTTTCTACAGATAGAGATGATAACTCCTTTCTGCTCAAAGGAGTTATCATCTCTAGTTCCATCAACTAAAATTCATTCTCGTTTTACTCGTCATTCAGCTAAGTCTCATTCGTTTACTGTATCTGTCCCTGCATGCTCTAAAAACTTTTATTCATCTAGTTTTTTTCCCCGCACTTCAATCCTTTGGAACTCTCTCCCATCTTCATGTTTTCCTGACTCATACAACCTTCAACTTTTCAAGTCTTCTGTCAACCGTTTCCTTGCTCTATAACTCTGTTCTTTTTTTTTCTCCTAGTAACTCCCAAATTAATAGTGGTTGCTTGCAGCCTTGTTGGGAGTGAATGCAAATAAAAAAAAAAAATTTATTATATACGTTAAAATGCAGGTACAATTTTCTAATTTTCTTATTAATAATAGAAAATGTAGAGAAAAAAACTTCAACACTTTAAAAATAAAGTTATTATTTTTATAGATAACAACTTTTCTTTTTATAGAATTCTTAAATTAAAAAAAATAACTGACAACAATAATCAATAGTCGTCCTTTTGAGTGACTTAATTGCATCAAAAGAAATTGCATCAAAGAAATAAATTCTTTAAATAAAAAATTCTGGAATAAATTTTTTAAATTTTCTAAATTTTAAGCATGTTTTCTTTTGAATTCCACAAAACACTAAAGAAGCATGGTTTTTTTTTCTTTGCCAGTGAGTAAACTTAGAATACATTGTTACTGTTACTTGTTTACTAAACACTTCATGTGCTGACCGATGTCAACCTGCAAACTCAAAAATGTGATTAAAAATATGTATGCTTTAGAAGCATTTTAACTGGCAGAAAGAGAAAAGAATCTTTGAATTTTTGAAGAGATGATTGAGAAGTTAAAGTATAGTAATACAATATTTTATTCTATTTTCTAATTTCTATAACTTGCATAATGATAAAAATACTAGACTAAAGCTCAGAGGAAACATGATACCAATCATTGCATATTTTTGAGGTGATGTTTTTGATTAAAATATATATATATATATATATATATATATATATATATATATATATATATATATATATATATATATATATATATATATATATATATATATATATATATATATATATTAAAATCAATTAGTGTATATCATAGTTTCCAGTTTGACTTGTACACTAATAAAACTGTCATGGTTGACTTATACACTAATAAAACTGTTATTGTTGACTTGTATACTATTAAAACTGTTACTGATGACTTGTACACTAATAAAACTGTCATTGTACACTAATAAAACTGACTTGTACACTAATAAAACTGTCATTAACTTGTGCGCTAATAAAACTGTCATTGTTGACATGTTGACATTTTAGGATTGTTTAAATCAACTTTTTTTTTTTTTTAAGAAATATAGAGCAAGTGTTGAAGAACCTTTTTTTTTGATTGAATAAAATTCATTTTGTTTATAAAAGTATGAGTATTGTTTGAAGAAATTGATACCTTCAAATTGTACACTAACTATGTTTTTTGTAATAGTTTGCTATTATTGCCCAAGAAAATTCTAATTTAAAAACAAAAAGCAATAAACAAAATGAATTTTTGAAATTCATTGGCTTCTATACTAAAACCTTTTAAAGTGATTTCTTACATTGATGTAGGTAAAAGATTTTGAAAATATTCCAGGAAGGTATTATAGGTATATCGATGGTTAAGAGCACAAAGGGAATATGTCCAACATTAAACATTAGGTAAACATTAAACAAATTAGGTATTAAAGTATGTAAAAGAAATAAAAATAAATTAGTAAAAAACAAGACAGAATTAATTGAGGAATGCATCTGGTTAAAAATAATGACAATAAATAAATATCATGAATTATTGTAAGCTTTCAAACTTTTAAATTAAAAAAACTTTTAAAACAATGGTTAGTGGACGTATTCCCTTTGTGGTCTTAACCATCGATATATAATAATAGTCCCTCCCCCCACCCTCCAAAAAAAAATTACATTATTCTTTTAAAATTAAATTAACATCCAATATTTAAAGGGTGTAATACAATTTTTGATTTTTTTGCATAAATTGTTTTTATGTTAAAAGTGAAAGTACAATAGCCACTCACCACTCAGCATAAATATTAGCATAAGCTAAAGAACTATCTGCTACTGGTGATATAAAATAAATAGGAATAAATGAAAGACCAGATCCATCCATAAATGCACACAGATATTCAAACAAATCAAAAATGACTCCCTAAAGAACAATTAAAAAATAATCCTTAGTATGCTAATTTTTTTTCTAAATGTAAATTAACTACATTTCTTAAACTTATATTTTCTTTCTATAGTTCTTCTAGATCAAAGTCTTTTTGGTTATTTAAAATGAACTTGATGTCACTGTCTGTAATGATTCACAGAACAAAGTGTTAATTAAAGGAAAGGTACTAATAACCAATACAAGGAAAGATAGATTTTTCTAGTTAAGAAAAACTTATTCAACCTGTTCATAATATCTTATCTAATTAAAAAAATGACATTATGGAAACCAGGGGCAGACTGAGGTTTGAAATCGGCCCGGGAATTTTACATTTGTTCAGCCTACATCAAAGAAAAAGAAAGTATAGAAACATGTTAAAATTTTAATATTCAAGCTGATCAGAGCCTGTTCAGCGTTTTCTATATTTTCATAAGCTATGCTTGTACTGGAATCTCTTTTAGAAATGAAGTCACTTATTTTGAGACATTTATTAGCTGATCAACATTTATTAGCTGCTGATTGAATCAATTTTTGTTTTTTATCACGTAATTTTTCAGCTTGTCCCTTTCTTTTCTTGCGTTCACTCTTTTTTTGACCAACCTGATTAAAGCCGGCCCACTGGCCCAAATTCATACAAGCCCACCAGGAATTCTCCCGGTGCTCCCTGTAACCAGAACGCCACTAATGGAAACCTGCTTAAATAAACACGTGTAGAACCATGTAAAACTATAAAAAAATCTCTTACATGCTACATAAAGTGATTTTACACTCATTACACATACAAGTAATTATATACATACATATTTACATTACACACACATAAAAATGTGTACTTAGCTGTGTAATAGAGCAATAGGATGGAAAATACTTTTTAAAACTTTTTTTATTTTTTTTTTTATTTTTAACATCTTTGCTTCCAACAAGGCTGAAAGCAACCACTATTAGAGTTGGAAGTTACTATCTTCACAACAAGGTTGCAAGCAAGTGTGGTTGGAAGTTGCTGGAAAAGAAAAGATTAAGTTTATAGAGCAAGATAACGATTGAAAGACAATTTAAAACAATTGCAAATTATATTTATTAGGAAAGCAAGATGAAGAAAGCAAATTCCAAAGAAGGAACAAAGATATCGTCATTCAGTTAAAGACTTAACTGAATGACAAGTAACACAAGAATGAATCTTAGTAGATGGCACAAGAGATGCTAGCTCTTTAGAGCAGTGCCTGTTATAATATTTGTAGAAAAGAGAAAAAGAATCAAAATTATGAAGATGTGATAATGGTTGGAGGTTGGCTGCAAGAGCAGGTTCAACTTTGTTTACAATGCATTTTTGCACCTTGTTGCCATATGTGGGGCAAATCTTCCAATGATTTGGAAGATTTGCGTAACATATGGCAACAGTATTCCATGCAAGGTCGGATTCGAGATGCAACCTTGGCAGATGCTTGTTTTGCAATGAGTTTGATATGTGGTTTCCAAGAAAGATCAGAAGTAAAAGTTAATCCTAGAAGAAGTAGGGTAGTTGACTTATCGAGTACATTATCATTCATAAATATATGAAGTTGCCAAAATGTGAAAGTGGATAAACAAACAATGTTAAAATGGGAAAGTGGATAAACTTTTTTTAATGAATTACCATATATGATAAAATGTGAACAAAATTTTTTTAAAGCATAAAATATTAGGTGGAGTGCAGAGTTTTTTTTTTTCTTTTCTTTTAGCTCTTAAGCTTATGAAAACAAAAAATCAAAGGAATTTTATGTTGCTTTAAAAATTTAAAAATAAACATAAAAAAATTAGTTGCTTAAATGATATCTTTTAAAGTGAAAACAAAATGGTTATAAGTATATTTAATTTTAAATATAGTTTGGACTAAAGTTTATGTTGATTTTAGTGTGTTATGTGTTTAGAGTGAAGTTTATATTTGTTTTAGTATGTTATAGAGAAAGGGTCTCCTATTCGAAAAGCTTTACTTCAAGGGCATGTTATAGATGATCAAATATTTATTATGAAGATTAACTTTGAAAAATAAAAGATTTTTTGTTATAAAGCGATTTACTAGCAATAAAAAAATGAAACTATTTAAATCAGTATTTAATCATTTAAAAGTATTTATTTATTCAATCACTGTGAAAAATTGTACAATAAAAATATCATGTTGCAACTCTGAAGAACAAAATATTTCAAACTGAGATATATGGTCAGCAAATTTATATCTTTAATGAAATTAAAACAATAAAAAAGTCTAAGAACTTGTTTAATTCTTTGAAAGAGATTGTAAAGAAAATTTCATTAAAAGCGAAAAGAATGAAAGAAAGCCAGGGGGTTAAGAAGTTAATTTTAAAAAAAAACTAGAAATTATGACAATGTAGAATGTTTATTTGTATGCAATTTAGATCTCAGTAAGAACAAATGTTTAATTTGAGGATGATTCAGATTTCAACCAGGTTAAATGTTTCTTTTGAGGAGATTCAACATATTTACCTTTTAAAACTGCATTTTTTATATTTAACATAAATATAAAAAACACTAGCGTCTTTGGTTCATAAACATGTATAGCAATCAGGAAATTTTTTTTAAAAAGGAAAACACATAGAAAGATTTAGATAAAAGAAAAGTAATTTAATTTCTACAATTAAAAATCATTGGTTCACAGGTATTACCTGAATACGTATTGGTGAATGTGTTTTTAACTAGAATGTTTTAATGAATGAAAAAACTGTTCACCACATAGACAGATGGAGTGTAGAGATGTATTTATAAAAATAAATTAAATCTTTCATATTAGTATTAGTAAAAATAAATTAAATTTTTCAAGTAAGCAAAACATAGCAGGTTTAAACTTTTTTTTTGGTGATTTGTGTTTTAAAAGACTTTTTAGTCCACTTTTCTACATATACAAAACAAGGATAGAGCAATTTTCTCTGTAGCAGAGTATGAAATGTTTTTTATAATTTTTTATAATATAAAATTATAAAAATTAATATTTAAACTATTAAATATAAACATTTATAATAAATTGAGAAAATTCATTATAACATAGTATAAATTTTTTTTACTATTTTATGTTAAGAAAACAATATAAAATTACTCACTGAGGGAAAACAGGGAATTAAAACATTGCCTCCATTCTTTAAAGTCACAGCTAGAAACAAAAAAAAATATGGCAAGAAAATAAACTATTTTCAATTTAATTAAATAAGAAAACAAATACATTTTAAAAGCAATTGATTATACTAATGTAAAGCTATGAATGAAGGGCGTATATATTAAAATTATGTAATATAGATATTATTATATATAAGGTAAGAAATATTAAACCAAACAGTTTTAATTATATAAATAGGTACCATTATATAAAAGGTAAGAAATATTAAACCAAAGAGTTAAAATTATCTAATTAGGTGCTATTATATAAAAGTTAAGAAATATTAAATTCAATAGTTTTAACTATCTAGGATTAAAAGTGAAAATTCATTTGAAAATTCATTTGCTCCCCTCGATATTTTGTCCAATCTTATAATAAATATTATTTTTTTATTTATACAGAGGAATTTCAATTAAATTTTATTTAAATCAGAGGAAGTAAGGTTTTCACTAAAAAGCAAAGAAATAATCCTTTGCTATAAACATACCCAAAAAAATTGTTTTTAAGATAAAAACTTTGAAAACTTGATAAATGAGGGAATCTTTTTTTCAGATAAAAAATACATTTTTTAGATAAAATAAAACTTCAGATAGTCTTTTGATTTTAATTTAAGATTTTTTTCACGCTGCAACATAAAATTAACTAGTATACAGCTGTATACTAGTGCTTTAAAGTAATTTTTTAGCGACGCTTTTGTTTTTGTGTAGATTTTATATTAACTAAACTAAATTTAAAGAATCAAATAAAAAGAAAGTATCAATTAAAAAATCTTTAAAGAAAGCCAGTTAGATAAGGTACCTTGGTGGACTTGATTTAACGATAATGAAGCTTATTTTATGCAAATTTCAAAGTAACGGTGAGTTTACTTGTCGATAACTTCATAAAGTTACAAATACTTTAAAACCTCCACTGCTGTCGTTTTAAATTTTAGTCTTTTTTTTTTTTAATTTTAAAAGAAAATTTAAACCGAAGTTTTACTACGTTTACATTTTTATACAAAGTACTATAAAAAATAACTGACAACAGCTGTTAACAGCTAATGTCAGTAACTTTTACTCTGAGTAAATATTTTTAATTTTTACTTTTACTTGTGTAAACATTTTAAGTGATGCTTGTATATTTGTTCTTATTTTAAAACAGTCGCATTTTAAAAATTAATTACTACTATTATTTTTTATTTACTGTATTATTTGTTTAAATTACAGATTGTCGATTACTCATAAAAAATGATTAATTTCCATTAAAAAATTATTAATTAAAGTTAAAAAACTAAAAAAAAATTATTTTTCGAAAGACTAACAGCATGGATAAGTTTATCATTCGAACTAAAAAGAATGATTCTCAAAATGCCAATGTGCCCTTTTCATCTGCCATACAAGTATCGTCGTTTTCTGATAAGTTAAAGTAAGAACAGTTCAGATCATGTTGATCAGATCAGTTCAGATGGGAAACAACAACAAAAAAAAACAATAAAAAAGGTACAAGCATTATCCAAAATTCAACAGAAGATTTAAATGGAAAAAAGTCAGAAAAAAATATTTGTCGATATCTGTCTAGTTGGGAAGACAAGTATAAGTGGATTAAATATGACACTGTTAAAAAAAAAGCTTTTTGTTCCTTGTATGTCAAAGCTAATGAAATGACGCTTCCGCTGCCTACTGAATCAAGAGTAAGAAAATCCACTCTAGGATTGTTATTGATGGACTTAATAATTGGAAGAAAGCTCATTTTCGCAGCCATAGCTAGCCATTTTTGCAGAGCCACTAATGAAATGACAAGCTCAACAATTCATTGAACCTTGTATTTTCTTATAATAATTTTTTTGAATTTTTAAAACTGTATAGGTATCGATATCCTTCCGTACTGTGGATGATTAGTTCCAAATTAATGAGGATTTTTGATAATTTTATGAGATAGCCACAACTAAAACAAGGATCTGCTTTTGATAATGAAAGATGCCCTTCTTCCTTCCAACTTAAGGCTTGAGAACTGCCAGGAGCAATGCTACTGTTGCCATGTCTTCTGAAATAGCTGGCTTGCAAAAACTTGTTCTACAACAAGAAAGCAGAGCCCTTTAAGTCAATTACAGAGCTCACAAGTGAAATTTGGTCATACAAGATGAAATAAAAAATACCTGATATAGAAAATATCATGTCACTCTTTCAAAAGTTTTTCGCTCTTATCAGAGGCTCACCAAAGAGGCTTGCTTGGTTTTCAAGCCTAAAAGATCAAAATGAAAGCGAAGATGAACACCAAAATGGAACATAATTTAGGCCTTTTCCCCAAAGAATCCAAATGAGATCTACAAGCAGTTATACTTTACCGGTTTAGATACAGTTTTAGTTGACCCATTAGATTTGAATTAACTGAAACTACTCGTCATTTGCAAGAGTTGAAAGGTTTGTGATTGGATCAAATAACACTGAATGCAGTATCAACTACATTAAAAACTTTTACAAGGACAATTTTCCTAATTATCAAAGACTGCAGTCTCACCGAGACCTTTTCATTGACGAAGCTAAAAGAAAAAAAAAATTCAATTTGAATATTTTCAATCAGCTCTAGATTTCATCCGCGCTAAAGAAAAAATTGGATTAAAAAGCATTGCCTCGGAAAGCGCCAATTTTATTAAAATGATTCTGGTCGAGCCAGTGTCAACTTGTACAGCAGAACGATCATTTAGTAGTCTGTGTAGACTAAAAACATTTCTTTGAATAACCATGAGTCAGGAAAGGCTGAACGCTTCTCTAATGAATACCCATTAAGAAATTACCAAGAATCTTGAAATGGATTTTTTGTTAAATATATCAATTGAAAAAATAAAAAGCGCCATAGAATGTTTAACTTGGAAACCAAGTAAAATTCCATCTCTACTTGTTTTAGTTAAATTTCTTGATGCTAACCAAAATCAAAAATGGTTATTTTTTTTATTTCTATATCAAAAGTAATAAACACTGGACAGTAGACATACATTGCTCAAAAAAATTGAACCTTAAACTTTTTGCACCTTGAAATTTTGATCCACCTAAATCTACTTCAGACTTTCTATTATAACATATTTTACAACTATCCTTTGGCAGATTGGAATTATTTTTCTGATTTTCTTAGAAAATGTTCTTGGGCTGATGACTTTTGACTGAAAATTGTGACTCCAATGTTATCTCTTGGGTGCGGATTCACAACATTTTTGGAACTCTTGAATAGCTGAGCAAATTATGAGAAGGGTAGGCAAAGAATTTTTTTCCTTATTATTTGATATTCGCAAACTTTTCACAGCATTCAGGTAAAGTTATAGTTTTTAATCAAATGTAATAAACTTAGTGTCCCAAAATAATATACTTAGTGTCCCGAAATAATATACTTAGTGTCCCAAAATAATATACTTAGTGTCCCAAAAAAATATACTTAGTGTCCCAAAATAATACACTTAGTGTCCCAAAATAATATACTTAGTGTCCCAAAATAACATACTTAGTGTCCCAAAATAAACAAAACCCACAAAATTTCTAATAAATATGCTGATTTCAATCCTGTTGTTTTTATTTTTCAGATTTAAAATCAGTAATGAATAACAATCATTAGTTTGAAACCCCATGGCTTGAAAGTTATAAGAAAATTCTTTTGCGACTCCAGGTTAATTTATTAGCAGGTAGTGTAAACCAGAATGGTCATCACATTTGCCTGACTTCTACCTCTGACAACCCCCCAGACTTCTACCTCTGGGGTATGTTAAAGGACAAAGTTTATCAACATAATCCTTTTGATTTGTAATTTACTCCAAACATAAGTCAGTAAAAAGCAGATGTAACTTTTCTTGATTAAAGCTCACTGAACATTGTTTTGATACAATATTATATCATATTTTTAAATTTATGTGTGCAAGCAGTTACACAAAGTTTGTAAATGCAACTTTACATAACTTTGAACTTAAGCAAAACTAATGTTTTCGTTTAAATTTAACATCCATATATGGTTGCCAGGTAGCCCAGACCTTTACCTCGTTGAAAACTTTTGTGCAATTTTGAAATCTAAAATACCTAATTGAAAGCAAACAAACAAAAATAATTAATATCTAATTCAAAGTAAACAAACAAAAATAATTTTATGAAGTTCTTATTGAAATTACTAAATTGGTATTTAAGTTATGTCAAAGATTATAGCTTGTAAACAAGATATTCAGAAGTAACTAAGGGGTGGTAAAAAAAAGTACTAAAATGAAAATCAGGCATAATTACATTTTTAATGATAATATTTGACAGAACAAATCTTTTTTTTTGGTTACATCTCTCTCAACACTTAAAGCCAAAATACAAACTGAACAACGAATGTTGACAAACATTGCATGAAGAAACAAGTTGAGAAAGATACTACCAGGGATATGAAAGGAATTAAATTTCGAACATCTTGCATACAAAACAAGCACCATTAAACCACTACTGCATTTAAATTTTATATATCCTCCCATTTTCAAAAAAAATGACCGGTTATATCAAAAACTAAGGTTATAACTTTAATATTTGATAAAACTGACTGATAGAGACTAATAACAGACTGATATAGACTAATAACAAGTTAAAATAACTTTTGTCAAGATAGAAGACCTTTTAAACTGATTCTCTAAATAACAAATGTTACCTAAATTGCTGCAAAAATCTCGCAACATAGCATCAGGATTTACAATGCTAGTTGGAGTGAGAGAATTCAAAATACATAAATCAGAATTTTTCAAAGCATTTTGATCCATTGGAAGACTATGTGTTGCATATGTAGATGAAGAGGAAATATAACATATCTAAATAAAATTATAATACACATTGTGAAATTTTTTAAAAAAAGAATAATATGCTTTTATATATCATGTAACAAACAAAAATTTTATAATAATAAAATATTATAATATAACTATTATAGTAAATACTAAATTATTGTAATAAATAAGATAAAAACCAAAAAGAATCCAAAATGATAAAAGAAATTATTAAAAAAAATAAAAAAATCATATAAAACCTTTTAAAAATAGTAATATAAAAATAATCCACTAACACCAGAAAAAATCTTAACATTTTTTTACCTTGTGATAATCTGTTTCAAGTATCCAATTTGATGAACCAATAGCATACCCTGAGCTTACTGCAGTTACCCTTATTAATCCTAAGACATCCTACATAAAAATAAGCAAAAAAATAAATAAAATTTTATAGATTTTTAAATAACAAAAAGATTTTAAATAAATGCTATATAAAGCTGCAGATATAGGTCTGCACAGGACTAATATATTCTGCAAACTACTATTTGTTAATGACCTTTTGGAAATTCCTTACTGAATGATGAGTCACCTGAGCTTGAGTTTTCGTTAAAGGAGCAAGTGATGATAGCTTTCTTGAGCAGCAACCATGCTAGTATTTGTAGAAAAGAGAAAGAAATAGAACTTTACAAAGATGGGACTGAGACTCCAGCTTAGCTGCTAGTGCAGGTTCAATAGCATTTACAATGTATTTTACTACCTTGTCTCAAAGAGGGAAGGCTAAAATAGAAGAACCAGCTTAAATAAAAACAGTATTCCTTAGGAGTCATTTATTGTAAGAATCAGGCAGTCAGTGGTAGTGACCCCCTCCAAATTGCTTGAATTTTTTATATATTGATCAGAATATAAAGAAAACCTGTTGAAGAAAAAAAAAGGTTTCAAAAATGTTTCATTCACTCGGAATCTCGGTTTAAAATTTATTGAGATTTATTGAAAAATTTTCAGAAATTTAGTTTTTGCCACTTTTGAATCCATTTTTTTGTCAAGGCAAAAAGTTGCACATTTTTTGTAGTTAATATCAGACATAACCCAAAAGTTCTCTTCAAAAAATATAAAAAAGTTGCGCGGCACTGTGCGGTTGGCTAATTATCATAGTTCAAAAATACAAAAACATTAAGTTTTGTCAATTTTTAGCAGGAGTTATTTCTAACCGCGAAGTATTGCACATGATTTTTCTTTCAGGATTTGTAAGTATCAAAAGTATTGAGTCTAAAAATGCAAAGAAAGTTATGTGATACCTAAGGCCTATTCAATTATTAAGGCTTGAAATTAAAAAAAAATGTTATAGTATACTTACAAAATGACCCATTACGGCAGAGGCACCTTGTTAAATTGTCAATATAACATGCCCCTTACATAATTAAAAAAAAACTCGTGTGATCTTTAGATATTAAGTTACAATTAAAGGTACAAAGTGTTAAAAATGATTAAGTACAAAGAGATATTTTCTGGGATGCACAAATGAGGGATTCAAATCAGTTTTTGCTCAGCAGCACAATAAAATTTTTCTCTTCCAAAATTAGCACTCAGTATTGCAGATAGTTCCGCCCCCTCCCCTCCAAAGCTGTCATTTAGGCATTTGAGTTGGCACATAGAGCAAGTTTTAAAACTGTAGTTTGCAAATTGCAAATATTAAGGACCTTTTTTTTTTTTGGTGTCTCTAGTTGTCAAAAAATATATACAACACCCCCCCCCCCCACACACACACACACACAGACACACACGGAAGACCTCTTCGGGACACCTCTGATCGCAGAAAACATTACAAGTAATGTTTAAAAAAAGTTTAAGCATTTCTGACTATGATATAGAAATCATAACAATTGAAATAAACAATAATAAAATATAATATACGATCAGAAGTGAATTGTTTAAATTTACTTCATATGTAAATAACTTGTGGTGATTGAAAAGAACAATGAATCTCTGATATCACGATTAAGGAAAAACTAGTTAGTGGGCGATTGTCATAAAACAATTTATTTTACCATCGAAATATCTTAACTTTATTTTAACGATCTTTAAAATTTGCATAAATAGAGTCGATCCATTATCATTGTTATTCAAAAATACGGGCTGCAAAAATAGAACTTGTTTTTAGTTGAGAATGGAACAAAATAAAATTTTTTAATAAAAAATGTTGTTGCTTTTCAAAAGAAAATCGTGGATCATAAAACATAAAATTATAAACAATACATTCTACATTTATTAGCTGGGAGATGTTGATGTCAAGAAACACCTCATCAACTTAAAGGTAGTTATGTGTTTTAAATGTACGCAGACTGTAATATAACTTTTATAATTACATACTTTATAACTACTCTGCAGTAAGAATTTGAGACAAACCTTACTGAACAAAAAAAAATGGCTCTTTTAATTAATTCCCCACTCTTTTAATAAATAATCACTAAATTAGTCACACTCTTGCAATATTCTATTTTAATATTATTAAAATAGAATATTGCAAGAGTGTGATTAATTTAGTTTATTAATAAATTTATTAATTTTTTAAACAAGTGACTAACTAATTTATTAATTTTTTAAACAATTATTAGGCGTGTCACTTAAACCATTATTTATAATCTGATTCTTACTATTCACAATAAATGTTCACAAGTTTGAAATATATTGTTGTTATTATTAATAATAATAACAACAATATATCGATGGTTAAGAGCACAAAGGGAATACGTCCACTAACCATTGTTTTGAGAATTCTGAATTTGAAAGTTTGAAAACATACAATAATTCATGATATTTATTTATTGTCATGATTTTTAACCAAATGCATTCCTCAATTAATTCTGTCTTGTTTTTTACTATTTTATTTTCATTTCTTTTACATACTTTAATACCTAATTTGTTTAATGTTTACCTAATGTTTAATGTTGGACATATTCCTTTTGTGCTCTTAACCATCGATATTTCAAACTTGTGAACATTTTTTGTGAATAGTAAGAATCAGATTATAAATAATGCTTTAAATGACACACCTAATAATTGTTTAAAAAATTGTTTCAAGGTCATGCGATCCAACGATAATAATGTTTGGATGAGAATTGAGTTATTGCAAAGAGGCTTAAAAAAAATCTTGAAAAGGATGAACAAGTATGTGCTTTTCACCGGTATACCTTTGGTGTTGCATGGGGTCCTCCAAACATGCTTTCATCTTCACCATCTAAATATAAAAGGAAAAAAACGTCCCGCTTTAAGGGCATCACCAATACATGTCATTTTATCAATGTCAAAGCAATACAATGAAGTATTTTCAGTTTGCAATGCTGTGTTTTACTCATTTAAAACAAGAAACTGCTTTATCTACAGTCAATGAAAACTCCAATTTATGTACAGAAACACACCAACAACAAGAACAAACATATATGACACCTGTTTCTCCAGATAAAGAATTCTCTCATTGTTAGACCATACTAAGTATACCAAAAAGTTTATAATGAACACATTTGAGTGTACCAAACATCGTATAGAAATAGCAAGAAAGTGGCATGCATTTTATGAAGGGTTGACATTTCCAGACAAGAAGGTGTTCGCCCAATCAAGTCTTGATCAAACAAAGTGTGAACATTTCTTAGATTTTATAATTACAAGCGATATTTTGTATGATGTTGCTAATGGAATAAGCAAATTGAAATACGGAAGCGGTGAAGAGCAAAAGATACGCATGCAATACTGACGACAAAATATAGCCATGCTATTATGTTCCATAAAAAAAGTTGCAGTGAAAACAATTATGTACCATTATCTGATTTAAGTTTGTGAAAAGTATAGCATGCAGTAAAACCATCAAGTCGAAAAAGTTTAACTGGATTAGATGATGTCACTGCTTCAGGTATGAATGGTTTTCAAACATTACAAAAAGTTGCACGAAGATTTAATTCTAAATCTCTTGAAGCTGCCTTTGAGAAAGAAAAAATTTGAAAACAAGTTATCAAACCAAATGTAGTGTCAATGACTCAAACATTTCTTCTCATAGATCAAAACATGCTTTATAAGATCCATCTGAAAAAAATCTTCAATCCAACACAGAGATATCAGAAGTGGTATGTGCCGATTGTAGTGATTTGTGCAAAGCTATTGAGACAATCAAAGAACTAGCAATTCAAAAATCTGATGATCATGATTCTATTTATGATTTGGAAATTGCTGTAAAGGATGTATTCAACTACCTAAAACATTTGAGTGATTCTCAACAAAGAAGCCATGAGACTGCTTTCTGGCTTAAAGATTTTTGTCAAAAATCTCTTCTGGTACAGAGAGAGTTAAAGAGAGTATTTTGGTAAGAAAGGAATGAGTTTACAAGTGGATATATTCTTCATAAAAATAGCAGGAAAGTTATTCAAGTGTGTTTACTATACTTCAGTGTATAGGTGTGATCAGGGAATAGGTGATGTTGTTTTGTTAGCCACTGCAGTTTTAGACCACTTCAAAATTGATCAACCGCAAATCAAGAAAATGTTTACCAAATCTGATGTCGGCTGCTATCATGAAAATCTTTCAGCTGAAGCTATCTAAATACTTGCAAAGAGTGAGATATAAAATTGCTGAGATATAATTATAATGAACCCATTGTAGAAAAGATCAATGTGACTGGGATAGTGCAGTTGCAAAGACAATCTTATGGAGTTATGATGGTTCTGGTAATAACCTTTTGACTGCTGAAGATATACACAAGGCTATGCATTATAGTTTTGACGCTAAAAATGCAAAAGTAGCAGTTATGTTTATGACATGCAATTATGTTCATTAAGATTTTGCACTGAAATGAATTGTATCTTTTCATTTGAAGCAATGCTGAGTTTGAAGAACACGTGTAGAACAGGTGAAGAACACGTGTTTGAAGAACACGTGCTATCCTGTCTTCATACAGTTGCGAAATCATTGGATAAAGTTTGCAGCTCGTTTGTTCATAAGATGAAAATTACTTCATAACTAAATATGCCAATTTCTTCATTCTCTAGCAATGTTTCTGTAAAAGACAAACCACATTGCATGAATATTTTCGTATTGCAAGGTTGGGCATTACCAGTTTGAAGTTCTTTTAGATTTTTAAATCAACAGAAAGCACTGTTGTATAGATAGTTTATTTGTGGAGAAGAATCAGGTAATAAAACGAGCCCTGAGCAAGTTCACATGTAGCTAAAAATAGAACTTCCGTCTAATCAATATGTAACTAACCAACAGATAAAATCTTTGTTTTCAAGGTAGGCGTTGTTGCTATTAAAACTTTTACAAATTAGATTATGTTTCTGACGCTAAATAGTTCTTTTGCAAATATGAAATTAAAACTTCGTTTAAAACTGTAATTTCGTGTGTTTGTTTACATATGTTTAAAAAGATTT